TTATTATTTTACACTACAGACACTTACATGAATATATTCAGAATACTCATTTTTATTGAGCAGGAGGATTAATTTATATTACTACCACAGATTGACTCTTTGAAATTTTTTTCAAAAATATCTTGGATTTTCTTGTATACATGGTATTTAAATCACCAAAAATATGCCAAACCTTGATCTCCATCATGTGAAAACGTCACTCGGATTCTTAATATGATCCCACCATTTACCGCAGACCTTCACAAACACTGCTATATTTGATCTTAACACATCCTTAATTTCTTAACAAGCTACAGAATTTTTAACTACACAGAAGAATATCCACATTGTAATGAAATATTTTAAATTCAAAACACATATCTGCCAACCTCTAAAGATAAAAATTCAGAAGAACACGAAGAATTAATATCATGCTTTGATATTAAAAAAATAACAATTTATACAAATAGAAAAAAGAAAATTGTACTTACATTAGTAAATCTCAATTAAGTAGTAAATAAAAAATTTATTAGGAAACATAAAACAAGAACTTAATGTTACACAAAAAAATTATTGCAATGAATTTAGAGTGCATTTTTTGGCTTTAGCCAAAAATTATTTGGAAAATTTCCTGTCATAACTATTAGTTTCCTCATAACATTTAGCAATTAAAATGTTTTCTAGAGTTTTTGGTGAAATTGAAAAACGAAATATAGTTTTGTTTTTCTTCACAACACTGAAGACTCTCTCGCACTCAGCATTACCGTGTGGAATTGCGAGAATAGCACATAAAACTCTTGCTATTCTACCATATTTTGGTGTTCCATCAGCTCTTTTTATTCTTTTTAAGGTACCAACGAGGACATCAAGTCTATCTTCTCCAGAACAGCGCTTAGCGGCACGTTGTGTTCAATGAGGAATGCAGTAAACAAACACTCTGCCAAAATGACATCGGCATCCGAATTCGTAGAAAAAATCATCCACTTTCTTTGACGTTGTCGAAGCCGAAGCATTAACTTCATGCTTTTTAGACTTAACATGCTTCACAATGTCGCTTCTTCCACCGTGACTTATTATGAAGTCACACACGCACACGTTGCAAAATGCATAGTTATTTCCTTTGAAGGATTCTTTAATTGTTGGAAACTCGGCTTTGCAGGCAGGCCGAAAATATTGACAATACGGTTTTTTTGAACTCATTTCATAACAACGACGTATTAAAGAAAATTCGTAGCACGTGCAAACAAACAAACAAACAACAACAACAACAAAAAATAAATAAATAAATAAAACAGAATGCGGCAATGCACGTTCTTGCTGAGTAATTCCCTTGCTGCTGAAGCGAACGCGAAAAAAAATAATCTGGCACCCACAAAGAAAAGAGTGGGAGAAACAAGTTCAGCGCATTGGATTGGCTGGTTAAGCGGCGAGTTGGGAGAAACCGCAGGTTACTGGATTCGAGTAGTAGTCGGTAGCTGGCGGTAAAACACGAAAATCGCTGAATTGGCGAAAAAATTCTAAAATTTCGACAAAAATCACTAAAAGCACTTGAAAAAGAAAAAAAATCGTAAAAAATGGATTATGATCGTATAATCGTAAAGACAAACGCATTTTCGTAAGATTTACGAAAAATTCGTAAAAGTTGGCAGGTATGAATAGCCATATTTGTGTGAAACATCTAAACAGAAATGTCTATAATACACATGGAATTAATATTCAGTCATGCAAGTGAAACTTTGTCATCTTTTTCCCAACTTAGAATATAAAAATTTCTTAGCTCGGAATATTTTTTTTTTCCCCTTCAAATAGTAGGATCATTATTTTTACAAGTCTGAAAGCTTTTTAATATATTTTTTCTAACTTAAGATACGCATTTCAAATTGACAAACACTGAACCCTTACAGCTTTTTGAGAAAAATTTTTAAATTATGATACATAGCAAATAAAATCCTGCACAAGAGGAAATATTGACATGAATTCCAAATAATAATCCAACTTAACTTTAATATATTCAATTTAACTGAAGATACACATTTCAAACTGACATTACTTAGTTCTTACAGATCTTTCAAGAACATCTGATATTTAATTTTTCGCAGATATCAAAAACATTTTGCATAAATACCATACAAAACATATAATATTGACATGAACTACATATCATGGTCCAACATCGGTAACTTAAATGAACTTTTAATACATTTTAGTACGAGTTAATTTAAAAAAGACCACATTACAAAAAACAAAAACAAAAAAAAACATTAATTAAACACTGGAGCCAAATAATTCTTAGAGTATATATAACATTTAATTTCTCCTGAAGATCATACATAATATAAATAAAATATATTCCATAAAGTAATCAACACATTTTCTTCTTTAACCAGCTGTATTCTTAGAACCACGTACTATAAATTCAGTTAGAAAAAATTCCAGTGCAAGTATTCAAACAGAAATGCTTCACAAACTTCATGTAAAATAGGAATGGAATGAACCTAACTGATAAAAACGGAAAAGCATGCAAAGGACTGTGAAAAGATGCATTCTTGGAGGACATTCTAAGGCCCTATTCAGCACATATGTTGCATTTTTCCTTTTCAGATTAAGCAAACATTTAAGAAAATACCAAATATCTATGGATAGTATTTACACTAGTTGGTAATGTAATTTATTAGAACAGTCGCAGACGTATAGGAGAGATATGCAATATCAATGAAAAAACTTCCTAACAAGCCAAAGAGCAACAATGAAATATAACATCTAAGAAGGGGGAAAAAATGTCAGATTTCCAACAAAATTAGTATCTGAGCATGGAAAACATAAACAAGAAATGAATATATTTTCTGATAATGCCTCGAATGGGACAAGTCAGGCGTGAGAACCTTAACCAGTTTCAGGAATAGGGCATGAAAAATAATGAAGTATTTTTAATCTTATTTTTTTTATCTATAATACATTTACTTATACTAAAATATTCTGTTTAAAGACTGTATTCTACACTTGGAATTTGATAAATCGGAGGGATTTCGTTTTCTGAAGATCCATGTTCAGAAATATTACAACTCAAGCAAAAAAAGGTTAAAACGATAACGAAGTATACTGCAACCAATAAAAAATGTTTTCCTTCCTAAAAACATTAACGTGAAATTTTTTCAACCTAAAATAATCTAAATGAATATTTTTGACTTTTTAAAATCAAAGTGTAACTTTTCCCTCTTACATTTTGAAATTAACATGAGTTTTCACATAAACAAACTAAAAGTGGAGATTTTTCTTCCTAAAAAAATTAAAGTGAAAATTTTTCGACCTAAAAAAATCTAAATGAATTTTTTTCAACTTTTTAAACTCAAAGTATAATTTTTCTAATAACATTTTGAAATTAACGTGAAAATTTTTCCAAATTTCTTTTAAGAGAACACTGCACTCAAGGGAATCCTATGTGGATGATTTTCTAAGTCAAAATGGCTCATACTTACGTTACATATAGGGGAAAACCATAAAAAAGTGTTCAACTGATTCATTTCATGGGATTTGTTTTGGATCATGGAAAGAATCAAACTGTGACTATTAACTTCCCCAGCTCAAAAGAATCTTTAAAAAAAGAAGCGGAAAAAGGCATTTGATAAATATGTGCTACTCATATTTAGATACCAAAATATGTTCTAATTAATGTTTTAAATGAATTTTAGTGTTTCATTTCATTTCCTTTGGAATTCTGTTTTCCCTTTTTCTTCCTTTTGGAAGCATTGGAATTAAAAGTCATCTATCACAATCAACTTCATATTAAAATTGAAAACATTTTTATGAATTTAAATATTTTACAGTTCAGAAACTATATTTTTTGTTAACAGTGTTTTTGCTTTATATCCAAATTTACATTCTTGCATTAGCAATATTCTTGCCTAAAAATGATCCTTTAAACTTAATTATCGACTATAGTTCACTTTTTTAGATCCTCCAATTTAGATGAAACATTTTTAAAATAAAAACAAACAGAAGTAAGTAATTTGGAGAAAGTTACACAACTAGCATTTACAGTTTATTAGGCTTCACAATGCACTAGATTACTGATACAAAATTAACTTTTATTTACAATCTACACTGATCACATTTTCTAGTGCACTGGCTTTGGATTGTCAGCTACACATTTCTCTTGATCAAAATGCTGTTTAAAATTTCTGAACTAAGTCTCAATAAATCCAAGGTTCTATGGATATTTTTTTATGTAAAAAAGCACACGCACCATTACTCTCAAGATCATATCATGTGACGGATTTAATTCTGCCTGTATCAGGAAATTTGTTATCCAACTACTGCCAGCATATATAAACAATTGAGTCCCAAGCATTTCTGATATGCTATTTGAGAATTATTCATGGTTTATACAGTAATCAATATGTAAATCCGATTTCTACAAGTATAATATTTTTTTGAAAAATGAAGCTAAACTGTAATGAAAATTTTAATCAAGAAATATCTATTCCAAAAGTAGCATAAGTAATATTAAAATTTAGAAAGACATGCTGAATAATAAGTTCACTCCTAACAATTGGCTAAGTAAAAATGTGTAATTTCACAGTTTAAATTGATTTAATCTCATTCTTTATTGCACAGCAAGCTTACTTTTGTACATGTAATAAATGGTTATAATAGTCCAAAACAAATGAAATATTTTTAATTACATCTTGCTATAATAGTTAGAGATTACACACTTAGACATCAAATACAAATCAATCTTTATTTTGCATTCTGTACATTAAAATGTCTAATACCAAACACAGCAAAAAAAAAAAAAAAAAAAAAAAAAAAAAGTTCACATGCTTATATGCAGTTGCTTTAAATTCAAAATTATACAAGACACATACACAACACACATATATATCTAAATATGCTAATAGTCAGCCAAATTAAAATATATACACATGTAAAATTGAAATTAAAATATTCACATTAAAATAACATATTTCATAAAATATTTGTACATTCTGCATGGTACATATACAAAGTACATATGCTACATTTCACAAATTGAAGAAGTCCATAATTACAAAGACGAACAACAATGTCAGGATAAATAATGTAATTATAGTCAAAATACTCATTGATGCTCTTTCAGGAATGTGATGAATAATAATATGGTTATCAACAGAAATACTAATTAAAGATGCCTCATGACCACCAGTTATTCTACGAGACTCGTCACAAGAAGGCAAAAATTCCAAGCCTGTCACAAAAATGTTATGTACACGATCAACACTATATACAAGCTGAAAAACAAACAGAAATATTAAATAACACAGTTACATAATTATAAAATGTACACATATAAAACAGCATGCATTACAGCTCATTTAAATACACTAATGCAAGAGAATAAAATTAGTAGTTTTAAGTTTTCAGATAGAAAACAATAAAAGAAACATACTTGCAAATTAAAAGCTATATACATTTTTACAGATCCGTCTTGTGTTCCTAATGCAATGAAACGGCCATTATCACTTATTGCCATGACAGATAGCATATCAGTTCCTACAGCAGCAATTTTGACCAAGGAAAACTGCTTAGTATCCCACTTGCAGATATAGCACTCAGATGGTGGTCTCTTACGAACAGATGGATTTAACGTACCAAATAAAACCAACTCATTCTTGTCATCAACAATGCCAAACCTATAAATAGTAATATTAGTTATATACACATTTAAACTTGATAGAACTTAAAAATTGTGATAACTTGATTTGTAAGGAAATTTATCATGCTTCTGCTCTTTTCAAATGCAATACTTAACATGGAACCAAAATAAATTTTTAACCCCTTCACGCCGACTGTCACGTATACGTGCCAGCAACGAACACACTTATCTACTGGCCGACAGGCAGGCATGCCAAAGCATTGTTGCATTCTCTACCGACTGTCACGTATTTGTGCCAGTACCTTGGAACGTTTTCAAACTATAATTTCTGCCACAAGATGGCACTGTATGCCATATGGTTTCAGATACAGGTACATTAGACTTCTACTCGAATGAGAGAAGCATGACTCACATACACGTGTTTTGATATATAAATAAACAAACGGGGGAACTAAATGTTTCCGAATGGCGTGATTTATGACGTCTCTTTAATCGCACTTTATTCGTATAGTGGTAGTTGTTTATTGTAAGTAGAAGTTTTACATGCGCTAAAGCGTTGAGTATTTCGGTTTACAGTTCAGTTTTTAGAAAATAATTAGATCTTGTTAGACGTGAATCTTTCTGTTTTTACGTTTCAATGTCGAAGCGTCGAACATGTTTAACAGAGCATGAAATAGCAGAAATGATGCAAAATATTTCAGATATGATTCTGAATTCTGAATATCTGATATGATTCTGAAAGATTAATGAAAGACATTTTCCAAAACTTTGTTAGAAAAGACTGATAAGAAAATGAGACGACGATGCTTCGTTTGTTCACATTCCCGGAAAAATCCTCCAAACGGCAAATGAGTTATTACGAGTTCAAGGAATGTAACGTAGGACTGTGTGTAGATCCCTGTTTTAAAAATTTTTCATACGAAAAGAGAATTTAAGTAATATATTTAGTTTTCAGATGTATAATGTTAAAAGTCATAAAATGGTGAGTAATTAACTAAAATGTGTAAAATATGCATTTAAACAAGAAATAAGGTAATTAAAGTATATACATAAAAATATCTATAAAGCATAAGCCATTTAAATACTCTATACAGCATTATTAAACAATGCGTTGATACTTCGGAAATTTCATGGATTTAGGCTTAGTAGCAAAAAAGCCCCCGGCCCTGGAGAGACGCTCGCGGAAGACACTGCCGGCCTCCGCGATAAACGCGCGTTTTCGCTACCCGGCTCGAAGGGGTTAAACTTCTAGAGCAGTTTGGTACTTTGAGCGACCAGCTTAAGATCTCGTATTTCATTAAATTCACCAGCAGCTCCAAACCAGCAAATTCCATGCAGACACACTACAGAGATATTTGACATAATTAATTTGAATCTGATGACGGCAATTCAGACCCTGTGATACAATGACAACATTCAAACTTGTCTGCCTAAGGCTTATGGTTTTTTGGACATACCAGCCTCTTATTACAAGAAAATAAGATACGGTTCACTTATTATTTATCTACAAATATAGAAAAAGGTGTAAAATGATCATGAGTTTAAAAAATAAAAAAATGGGTTCCCCCCTAGATTAATTAATTAGTATACATTAAAGGTTTTCAAAGAAATTAAACATTTTATTATATTACAAAATGCAATAAACATTTTTACACATAAATTATAATTAATAATCAGATATAAACGCTAAATTATTAATTAGTAACATAAAATCAATAAAATATCTAGGCAGCTTTCTGGCATTAGTAAATTGCAGAGTCACTTTAGTCACAAATTTACATATGCCTATATACTAAACCTCACCTACAAAGGGGACATCTTTTACGTAAACAGAGTAAATGTAACCACAGGAATGGCAATTATATCCGCAATCAATGTAACTTTTACAAAAAAGTTTATCACATTATATCTGCATTACTGCCATCTGCCCTCAGAGCTTTAGAAAGTTTTTCTACCTTTTCAAGCCACTGATTTTTTAATTTCCTACATACAATTCTAGACGTAAAAAAACATTCTTTCAATTCCAGCTGATGAAGTTCTTGCTATGCTTAAGATTTTAGTGACATCCAGTTACTTGTTTCTCATGCATTTTCCCATGGGAGCTACTGATTTTCACCATTAAGATGTGGGAGAAGAGCCAGCGGCTGGGCAGAAAAGTTCCTGAACACTTTTAGTTCAGTCGAGGTTTGAATCCCAGGGATTGGGCTGGCTGCATGGCTGCTTTTGTGGTTTTCCCTATGTACAAGCTAGTTTGCCTTACAAAATCATCAATGAAGGCATCCCTTCCCTTATGCAGATAGCCCTCGAGTGGTCTGCCATAATTAAATGAGCAAAACCAAACGTGGCCACTGAATTGACTACTTCATTAAAAAAAATTTAAACAATTTTACTTTAAATAGCTTTCACTTTTTTATATTCATTGATTAAAAATTGCTTCAAAAACATTAGATTACATTTTAATACTTTCCACTGTTTAACAAAAAACGGGGACCCTATCGATTTTATCAATGATTTAAAAACTGCTTTTGTAATTATGGTTTTAAATTACTGGTTTTAATTATCCAACGAAAATCACTGGCACCCTAATAAAAAAAAAAGGAACAATTATTTGCTTATCAATGTGAAAATTGGGAGGTGCAAATAACTTAATTAGGAACAAGAAAGACTGGGGGGATTCCTACCTAGGAGGGAATTCACAGTTCGGGGGGAATGCAGTTCAGTTCGGGTAAAAATCAAATATATACAAAAGTTGAAAATTCTGTCCCGATGGCTAATGATAGTATCAGGTACTAAAGTTTATGCACTAACTTGTGTATTCAGTGGCAAAATACATTATTTCAAGATTGTTTTAAAGGCCAAAAATGCTTTTGAGAAAAAAGGAATTTGAAGGAAAAACAAAGCTGCCTTGTAATTGAGAACTGGACCCTTAAAAAATACTAGATAATATTCATCATAATTTGTGAAAGAAAACACTATGACATATTATGTCCTGAATGTCTAATGTTTAATAAAAAGTATTTCAGAGGTTCCTATGTTGATGAAAATGTAACCTTTTCAAACAGAACAAATAAGCTTTTTACAAACTCTAATCCATGAAGCAAATAGACAGAAGGACTGCAAGAGCTTATGTGACACAGATCACAGCGTCATATATTCTTAAATCTACTATGACTAAATGAAGGTGACTGACAATGAAATCAAATTTCACATGTTGGTTCTGATATTACTTAGACAGCAACAAATGCAATACAGAATCAACTATTCATTAAGAAAAATTACTATTAAATGCAGGGCTTGACAAGCAAATTTTTACAGATACATTAGTAGTATTCAAGACAAACTTCGTTTGAATTACAGATAACGCAATCCTTCTTACTGAAGTAGGAAAGAATCGTTATCTATAAAATTTTGACTGCAGCTGACTGCACTGGGAACGTTTCCACTTGTCATCATCCTGTTGCGTTAGTTTGCACCATTAATACATTAGTTCAAATTCATGTACCTTAGTTCAATACTGCACTCAATATCAGATATGTCTGATCCAGATGGACATGGAAGTGATATTTTTATGCATTGTACTAGTATGATCTATTAAAAAAATTTTTAACAATTTTACTTAAATAGCTTTTACTTTTTATACACATTGATTAATTGCTTCAAAAAACTTAGATACATTTAATACTTTCCACGGTTTACCCGTTCGTGACCAAGGGCGCGTGGAGCGACGCAGCGATTCACTCTTATCACCCAGCGTCGCTTCCACGCAAAGCCCAATTGGTATGGAGAGCAGCGTCGCGTATGCGTAATCGAACGTTTTATTTGAATTTTTAAATGCTATAGATGGCGTTTACGGCAACGGTTTTCACAACGTCGACTCATTGGTATTTGACCTTCATGAACGGGCATGGTTTCTGTTCTATGCTTCTGTATTTGATATATTATTGATGTAACAAGTGAGAATCACGGCTCTAAAAGGGCTGGATTGCTCACTGTGGTTATATTTTGACAGATTGTGGAAATTATGGACGTTTATTAGTTTGAAATGTTTTGGAGTAGAATTGCGTTTGCTTCTGAGGTTGACAGAGTGAGATTTCGAAATAGATGAATTAATAAATATGTGAAAGGAAGAAAGATTCTTCTAGTTAATATAAACAAACTGGAACACGGGTGTTTGAAAGGCAACGTGTGAGTCAAGTGACTTGTTTTTGCTTTGTTTTTTCATTAGGGAATAGGGGGAGTACATTCAGCGGATTATCGGATGAGTAATATTAGCCTATTATGGTGCAAATATGCATGTTGGACTCTGTGTGGATCCTTGTTTGAACTATATCCCACACAGCAATTTTTAAATTTCGATTTTATTCAGAATATATTAATTTTAATTTCCTCTTTTTTTATTTTGTGTTTGATATTTGCAGCTTTGTTTTATTTGTATAGTATTTGTTTTCATGTGCGTATTAAAAGTTTAGTTTTTTGCATATTTCATTCATTGTATTAACGTTATATTTTTATTTTAATACATATTAATAGAAGTATAGTATATATATAATTATAAATTGGAGTCTTTATAAATCTGATTTTAACGATTTTTTGCAAATTAGCTTAACTCTTAAAATGCGCGTGCGGTAGTGACGCTCCGTTTCAGAGCGTTCGGTCCCGTGACTGAGTTTTATTTCCGGCGCGCTGGTCCTCAAAGGGTTACAAAAAAAGGGGGACACTATCTGATTTTATCAATGAATTTAAAATGTGCTTATTGTAATTATGGTTTAAATTACTGGTTTTAATTATCCAACTAAAATTACCCTAATAAAAAAAAATGGCACCCTAATAAAAAAAAAAGGTGAACCAATTTATTTGCTTTATCAATGTGAAAAATTGGGAGGTGCAAAATAACTTAATTAAGGAAATCAAGAAAGACGGGGGGAGGGATTCCTACCTAGGAAGGGAATTTCATAGTTCGGGGGGAATGCAGTTTCGGGTAAAATCAATATATACAAAAGTTGAAATTCTGTCCCGCTGTCTCGAGTATCAGTACTAAAGTTTATGCAACCAACTTGTTATTCAGTAGCAAAATAATTATCTC